TATCGGAGCATCAAATAAGCTTCTGTGACAGCAGTAATAGAAGTTAAAGCAAAAAACAAACTTGATCATAGTCGGCTTCAGCCAACGATTCTTTCTTTACCAGTAGCCGAGGCTCATGCAGCGGTGATGTTTGCACTACTGTTGTTTCATTGTCCGTGTCAGTTGTGCTGTTGGATAGACTTAAATCATCCGATACGCTGCTAGTCTTCTGCTTCTCTCTGTTATCCTGAATAAAGTTGAATTTTGATAGCAGTCCTGCACCGAACATTTCTATCAGGAGGTCTTTATTTTTTTCTTCTAAAAATAAAGCTTTAGCTTATTGAAAAATGATGTTACTACGTACGTTTAGTGGATGTCCCGTTTCATTTTAATATAATTAACTATTTCGATCGTCATTATGTATTTATTTTTCCTTTTATAATCCGATGTTTTTATTGATAGTATTTTCTGCCAAACAGCAATTGATAATTTGATGTTCTTTTTTTTCACAGTGTTAAAGCATTATAATAAAATCAGTCTGCTTTTGCTGTCAAAAAAAACTTATTCTATTGGAAAAAATTTTCTCAAAGTGCAGTTTATTCGGTGGTCCACTGCTAATACTAAACATAGCAAACACAGGAAATTACTCTGATGCTACTACTATTATTATTTTTGTTGTTATCTTTAACACGTTTAGCTGCTCTCGGTTTCATCTGTTTTCTTCTTAGTTGTGATTGATCAACCGATAGAGATGCTGCAAAGAGAAAAAAACTGCACTGACAAAAGAATCTTCAGAAAAGTTGTTATTTGTTGAATTATATCAGCATCACTCCCACCTCACCAGACTATAGCTAAAGAAGACGTGTTTTTGTTAAAAAAGACTGTCGGTAAAATAGAGGTATTATTAAGAAAGAGGGTGAACTGAAGTACAGATTGTTCACGGTAGAACAATGACTAATCATACCAGCGGTTTCTTGCGACCTTAAAAAGTGCTCGTTTCAATCTGCAGAAATTAGTTATCTTGTCCAAGTGAACTGTTTGAGATTCGGCCAGTAGAAAGCTAGCCGAATACAGAGATTTTCAAAAAACTACAGTTTCCGAAACGTTAGATGCAACACTATGACTAATCAGCAAAAAGAAGCACACTTATAAAATCTTACA